CGGGAGGGCCGGCAGTCTCCGTTCATCGGGGTACTCTCGGGCGGGCCGGTGCTAAGCGGGTCCCATCTCGCGCGCGCCGACGCCGAGAGAAGCCGGCAGTCTCCGTTCATCGGGTACTCTCGGGGGCCGGTGCTAAGCGGGTCCGACTCTCGCGCGGCCGTCACGGCGAGCCGGCAGTCTCCGTTCATCGGGGTACTCTCGGGCGGCCGCTGAGCGCGTCCGACGTCTCGCGCGCGCCGTCACCGCCCCCCCCCCCCCCCACCAACGCGCCTCCAGACCCGGGGTGACCCCATCCAGGTCACACACGTCGCAAGCGGGTACAACCGGTCAACTCATGCCACACGTATGTGGGAGCCGATGAAAGCCTGTGCACAGATGCAGTGAGAGAAGGCGCTTGCCGGGTTTGCATCGGAATAAAAGGCTCCTGAACTCCTGGACTCCTGGACGTCTGAGGTTTCCTGAGGCAACGATTGTTGTAGTTCAAGCATCCGCTCCACGGAGGAAATTTACAGTTCACGGGCACCAGACAGCCAGCCACGGCTCGGACCGAGCGTCAGCCGACACCGCCGACGGCTGACAGAGCAGCCTTTGTCCAGAGCTGCCGGACGACACCGCTCTCATCGACCTCCTTCGGACGTCGGTGCGTGCCGTCGCTCAGATCACAGGCTACATGAGCCCTGCACCGACCTCAAGTCTAAAATAAGACGCGATTTCGTTGCGAAACGCCGCGATGTCGCCTCCTCCTCCGCTTTTGATTAGCGTTGAAATGGTGCAATTTTCAACCCGCAGAAACGCAAAAAAAACACGAGTGGATATCGATTCCAGATCTGTTCAGATACAGATTCACGCGGCACTGCCGTCGACGCGACACGAAACTTACGTAACGGATATGACAACGGACAACACTATCCGAAGACCGACGAAAAATGTGCGTCAGTGTGTGCAGACCATCATGCGTTTTCGTGTGAAAAACCGCACATGTAAACCGTCCGTTACATGTAAACCGTCGAGACAGACTGACGTTACATCTCAGCAATTGGAGAAGCTCAGTCAGGTGAGCAAGCTAAGCGCATGGTGTCGGCGAATGTACCGGACACGCCCCACCAACAGGTCTCAAAGCTGTGCACCGATAAAGCTCCAGCGGTTCACCATAAACGGTCGATGCCACGTTTTCTGAAGCCGATGCATGATGACGCACACGAACGC